TTTTTATAAGATTTTCAATTCAAACAAAGTATTCTAAATTATAAAGTAATTTACCATTACTCCCCGACAACAGCGTCAAAAACTTGATGCCCGATTTTTGTGTATATGAGCTGTAAATATCTTTCAATACTACAACACACACACAACAACACAATTAGTAAATATGTAGATCAATCACAATAAAAATCTCTTTAATTTAAAAAGTTTTATATTTTAAAGTATTTAAGCTACCAAACCTTAATAATTACGCAAGTATACATACCGCTCAAGTAATAAAGGGCTCTAATGGAGTCCTAAGTATTAATCTCACAAGAAGTTGGAAATTCTTATGGTTATAACGTCAAACACAATATTCAAACTATGAAAACTTAAGTAAGTAAAACAAATCTAAAGTAAATTTTATGTATTTTAAATGAAATGCAACTAAAAGAACTAAATTAACTAAGTTATTTTCTAAACTTCAAAGTTAAACTTACTAAGACCAAACAAAGTTTTATAATAAAGAGTTCAGATTTAAGAAAGTATCATTCCCTTTACAATGAGTTTATGGATTGTTAAGTAATTAAAATCATTTTAAATTATATATAAAATTATTTTGTGCCAAATAGGAGCACTAAAAAAATAGGAGCAATCATATTCTTTCTGCTCTGAGAGTGCATAAAGAAAATTGACTAATTCAGAGTTTGGACCCTAAATCCATGGTTAGGTTGAGAGAATATTGGCTCCCACTTCTCCCTCCCATGAGGGCTAACAATCTTGCTTTGGTTTCCAAGCAACTGGACCAAATTACGGATTTTAATCAGTCACCAAAAAATCTCCAATTTTGCTCCCATCAAAATTTATTTCCCAAATTATTTGCACTCAACCCCATGGACTAGATTCTCATCCATGAAATTGAATGTGACTCTTACCTTCTTGTAGAAAGCACAGCCCTTTCGGATTTTGTTTCTCAACAAATTTTAACATTTCAATTGGCCAGATCAAAAAGTAAAAGAAGATCAGAGTTTGAATCATCACATGAATCATGAATCATCACATTTTATTTACATTTAAAACCTTACATAAAAAAATTAATTCTTCACAAAACATTTCTCATTGTAGGGAGAAGGATAAACAGGACTACTTAGAATTAATGAGAAGAACACGACAAAACATGGATTTTATAAAAAAAAAAAAGAAGTTTAAAAATAAAAAAAGGTAAGAACACGACTTATCTCACACTCATCCTCAAGCAAATCCCTTGAAGTTCCCTTTAAGCACTTTCTCTCTTTACAATCACACTCAATTTTCTCTTATAACAGTAATGAAGAAGAAATCTCTCTCCTTCCTTCTCCTCTTACAGCTGTAGAAGAAAACCCTCTCCAAACCCAACTCAAGCAACCTTCTTCACAACACCACATGCAAGACCTTGCTAGACTCCTCTTTTAATTAAGGCGCCAGCCTTCTCTTTAAAGAATTCAAAATTCCCTCATATTTCCCAAGAAGCACACCTCTTCACATCAAGAGACAAATTCCTTCATCCAAGAGACATATCTATTCATTCAAAAGCCTTTCTAAAGTGTATAGATGCATTGAACCACTCCATGGGGCATTTGAATTAATTGGAGCCTTCTAGAACCTTAAAAAATTCAATAACTGCTACTATCCGTCTTAATTTGTCTCTTGCACCTCTGACACCTGTTTTGGTGCCTCTAGTGCTAGTTTATTGGAGTTCCGCTTTATTTTATTAATTCTGGCACCAATGTTGGCGCCTCTAGCTCCACTTTTTTGTAAAATGGCGCCTCTGGTGCAAGTTCTGGCTCCTCCGACAGCAGGATGCTTAAAGACTGTATTTTGACTCCAAATTTTTTTATTTTTGCTCTAAATGCCTAAAATCAATATACCTGCAACAAAAAATGAAAATACCCACCTTTAAAGTGAAATATCACTTAATTTAAGCATAAAATGTATACATAAAATTGTAATTTTTTGTATCAATAAACATGAAATGTATATATAAAATAGGTAATTTTAAGGCATGTTAAAATGCATGAAGTGAATCTTGGTGATCTTAAGATTTTTATTTAAAGACATAATTGGCTAGTCAAAAAAAGCCTAGAGAGGAAGGGGGAGGAGACTTAAGGAGGGGATGTTGAAGAAAGAATGGGAGTGAGGCTCCCTTCTTGCGTGCTGTGTGTGTGAGGGAGAGAGTCTTTGTAGTGTGTGTTTTGGTGTCTCTACTAGAGTAAGAAGTTAAAGGAACTTTAAAGGATTAAAAGTCTCAGATAAGTACTTTGTATTTGTGCTTGAGTTTTTATTTTATTGTGAAGTATTGGTTTGGAATATAAATCATGTTTTGTTGTGTTATCCCTATGAATTCTAATTAGTTTTGTTTATCTTTCTCCTTGCAATAAGAAGTAATCATGTGTAGGATTAGAATTGTTTAAAATTTCTCTTATTTCACACATGTGATGATTCATTACTTCCTACTTCATTTACATCTTCAATCTAGTCAATTAAAATGTTACAATCTATTGTGAATCCACAATGACCCTAGAGGTCTATGTGTTCCTCAACTAGTAAGAATGACATTAATCTCGTGGGTGAGAAGGTAATCTATGGGTTAGTGCAAATAGATAGGGAGATGAGTTTTGATGGGCGTAATTGGTGATTTTAGGGTGACGGGCTAAAATCTTTATCAATTTAATCTAGAGTTGGAACCTACGGACCGATTAATCTTATAGAGAGGGCATAGTGGGTAATCTGAAAGTGAGGGGCTAGAACTTATCCAACATAAATAGGGATTTAAGAACATACTTCAGGTCAGTCAATGTTCTTTATGCACTCAGGAGAGGGTAAGGAATATGTATGCTCCTATTGGCACAAACTTACATTTTAACCTTTAATCATTTAATTTCGGTACTAATTATTATCTCTTCACAAGGGGAAGGAACTTCTACATAATTTTATCTCTTCTTTATAAAACTAGTTTAAAGTCTCTGCATTATCTTTTAGCTTTGAAATAGAATTTATAGGAAATTAGATTGTTTGTTTTACACCTAAACTCGTTATCATGTTTCCTAGATTAGTGTCTAGTGTTTAAGTAGAGTTTTACTCAGTCCATAAAAAGAGTGTTAGATAAAGAGTAATTTCACCTTCCTAATGAGATCGATACTGAGGCTTTAAAAGAAAATCATATATTGCCTGAAACAATACTTATACTTAAATAGTACCCATAGTGTGTAAACCATCAATTAAAGTCTAAATTTATTACATAATTATTGTAGACACTAGCCGCTAAAATATATTTGATCAAGTTTTTTACCATATTTTGGAAATTAAATATCTGCGTAATCGCGGGTTAGGTCACTCTCCTGGGTGCGTCATTACGTTTTAACAATATGTTTTAACTTATGAATTTGTCAAATTGCATAAGTAACTTAAGTTTGAAGTAATATGCCATCACAATATTAATATTATAAGAAATTATAAATAATTATAATCTTACACATGATTATTTCTTATTAAAAGGAGAAGATAAAGAAAACTACTCAGATTTTATGGGAAAAATACAACAACATATGAATTGATATTTAAAATCAAGTTTACTCAATAAACTATAACAAACTTAAACAAAATACAAAATACTTATCTCAAACTCCTCCCCAAGTAGATCTCCTGAAGTTTCTTTCCCTCTTCCTCTCTCTTCTTACACTAACTTCCTCTCTAACTACTCTAGCGTCCTCCAACAACAACCAACAACTCCCCAAAAAAAATATTTTTTTTTCTTGAAGAGACACCCCCCCCTCTATAATAACTCTTAAAATCCCCAAGAGTTACTTTAGAAGTCTCTTCAAAATTCATCTGAATATATTGTATCTAAAGAAAACCGATTCTGACACTACTCTGGACGCTTAGTCGCCAACCTTCTAGAAGCTTCGAATAACTGCCTAATGCCTAGGATCCAGATCCTTACGCCATGGCACTGGGCTCTCTATTTCCATGTTTAGGGTCTGGTGCTTAGGCGCCATTTCACTTTGTGCTCCTTTACTCCATTTGACCAAGTTTTGCTCCGTTTTTTATCATTTTTCTTCAAAACTGTATCTCTTGTGTCTAAAACAATAAAAAAAAACACAATAACTTCCATTAAAGTGCAATACCCTTAAAAATGAGCATAAAATATATCTCAAAATATTGCACATTTTTAAGCATGTCATTATACCAAGACCTGGATTAATTATGCTGCCTCAACAGAAATGTCGGTGCACTTATGCCAAACACTGGCGTAATTATGCAAGACATGAAATTTTTGTTCTTCATGCTTTGACTCCACCTCATAACATGAAAATACTAACAATTAACCTTCCAAAAGCTAGATATCCTTAAAATTAGGGAAGAAAACATGGTATTTGAACTAAAAAAACAACGCGAAATTGGATCATATCAATTATCCCCTATGAGATATCTTGAAATTGTTTATACATCTAAAAACTAATTATGCTCGTGCAAAACAAATCACATATCAAAAATTTCAACAAATTTCTTATATAATAAGAACTCTAAAAAGAATGAAATTCATGAGACACATTACAAAATTATTTCATAAATAATTAGATTAATGGATGGAAACTTTAAATTTAATTGTAAGAATGTTTAGACTAAACAATATATAACAAATGGTAAAAGATGAGCTTTAACCGTAATAAAACTTTTCGAAATATAAAAGTATTTATTTAAATTAAGAGCAAGATATAGGAGGTTTGTTAGGCTGATTAACGCCGTTTGAACTTCATTTTCAAAATAAAACAATATTTATTATTATCTGATTTTTTTTTGTATGGTGAACGCTCCCTGATATTCCTCGTCTTATTTATTTTCAACTAATGTGCTATCATTCGAGATTGGTCAAAAAATCGATATCATATCGTGTGTAGTTCGGCAGTTATTCACTTACTTTACATGAGCAGTACTCCCTCAATTTAATACATGCTCAGCCCAAGCAACACGGAGCTATCAAAATATTTGGCCAAATCAATTGCCAAAATGAATGCAAATCACTGTTTTATTCAGACTTGTCTGCACAAAAATCCGTCTAATGTTTAGTCGGCAGGTCATTCTACAGAGAGACATTCCGAGCTTGCAAGCAAAGCATAGCTAAAGTTAGAAACTACTATATTTATTACATCACAAAACACAACCAGTAAAAGATCCGGTGCAAAATTTGACAAGATAACCCATGTATATAAACAATGGTAAAATATTAAAAAGCAGTTCTAGGGCAGAGAATTTCTTCAACTACCCCTTCCTCTACCTTACAAGACATTAAATTGAAGAGAAAAAAAAAAAGGAAAGGAAAAAATTGGCGTCTAATTCGTGTACAAATCCCCAAGTTGTTGCCCCTGTTGAGTTCCCTTCCTCCGAAGGATCAAGGCGACGAAACTGACGAGAGCACATAACGCGGCAACGAGATTGCCCTCTCGGAGAAGGATCTTGACTGCGAATCCAGCGATGTCAGCGGTGATCCGCCGCCCCTCAGCCACAAGCGTCCGGCGTGGCTTTCCAGCAAAAGCGAGAAGCACGAGGACAGTAATCCAAGTGACGACGGTAGCCGGCACAGCGACGGCGAGCGCCGCCCCCATGGAGAGAAGCCCGAAGACACCACCGTAAAGTACAGAGGCGTAGAGCGCTGGCCAGCCGAGAGAGGCCGGTGAAGGGGCGGAGGCGGCGGCGGAGGCGTACCAAGAGCGGATGGAGAGGACGAGGTTCCAGGAGGAGAAGAGGAGGAGAGCGTAGACGAGAAGGAAAAGGAAGGCCCAGGTCCGCCGCTTGCTCAACGCCCTCAACGCAAGGGAAGACCAATCAATTCTCTCTGGATCCGCCATTAATGACCTCCGAAGACCGATAAAAAGCGTTTGGAGAGTATCACGAGGAAAAGGAAGATGAAGGGACGATGTTTCACTTGATTAGTCGGCTGGGCTACAGCTGCTCGGGCTATTGCGTGCTTTTTTTTCTTCGGTGACCACGTGCTCGACCGATAGCGGGAGACGAACGGTTAGGAAAGATTCTATGCATATCTGGAGGTTAAAAATAAAAAACATATGTAGAAACCCTTAGATCTGCATTGACATTTGTAAAAGGACATAATACAGTAGATGAGTGGCTTGGGATGTTGTTTCCAGAATGACAACATCATAGGATCGTGGTTCTCAAAGATCGTGAAAATAGTAATAACACTTGTAACGGCAGAACCTAAGATGCCAATTGGCATCCGATGAGAATAAAGTTTAGGCATATGGCGCATCGCTGCCGTTCATTAAACATTGCTTCGATTTGATCTACTTCTTTTCATTATGAAGCTAATACCATTTTTACCGCAGCTAATAACAATTATACTATATATTGGTTCCTAATATATCTCTTGTGAATACGTCAGAGCTGGGGTTGAACAAAAGAAGGAAGAGACTATAATACATTTAGACTTCTCTGCTAAGATAGTCGGATAAAGCGATCCATATTTTTGCCTCTTATATATCGAGATAGTATTTTGTACAGCTATAGAAACAATGTAACAATTTTGAAAACTGTCATTAATACAATAGATACTCTTATTAAAAGTATGGATCTCAATTTATGTATTTATAATTTAAATTTTAACATGGTGGTAATTAGCTCATCGGCTTGTTTGAACCCGACCGATTGAGACAACCGATTGAGTGGCGATTGTGCTCTCTAAAATATGTGTTGGTCGGTCGAGGTGCTTTGTCGAATATTTATCTATTTCACTGCGGTAAATGTGAGTCGACCGTTTAGCCGCTATCAAGGATTCTTGCATCCATTGTCATCATTTTCCCCAGATCAGTCGATCTTCGTGTCGACCTTAAGATTCTGGCAAAAGTGGGCTATGGGACTTCTGCTTTTTTAAAGAGGATCAAGGTTAGGAAAAAAAAGCGATTGAGGATCAAACCTGTGTCGGCTGATCAAGTCGGCTTATCTGGGGACCATAAGGGGCAAGTGTTGAAGGAACCCCGTCGGGAGACTGTGATTCCTGAGCCGGGCATGGGTGCGAGCTCCGAGTGCAAGTAGACATTGCTCGTCAAAGGCGTCGAGGAGGGCGAAAAGAGACCGAAGGGAGCCGAGTTTGGTACCTCTACCCAGTGCAGATGTTGTAAGGCAAAGGCACCTCGCAACAAAAGAAGGGCGAAGACTTTTGGAAACCATTTCCTGAATGGATAGAATAATGAGTACGTAAAGACTCTTTTTCGGTGGACACCAATCTATAATTACTCCTTGACATTTCATATGTGTTGATAAATTGGCCGAGTCGGAGGGTCACTGATGCGGGCAGATTTAGTGTGTTAATTTTGTAATTAATTTTTAATATTATAAAATACACACGACAGATATAATAATAAATATGCAATGTAATCTGAACAAAAATAATTTTAATAAAAATAGTGTATCTTTAAAACACTTTTAAACTGTCAAATCCTAATTTAAAAATAATCCAAGTATACATATTGCTAAAGTAATAAAGGACTCTAATGGAGTCTTAGTTATCAATCCCACAGGGAAGTTGAAAATGCCTGTAAATAGTTCTTAAGACTATAGTTATAATTTAAACTAAAAAAGGTTAAGTGCAAAGTTTGAATATTAACGACTAAAGTGAATGTTATTTAAAATGTAGTTGAAAAACAAAGTTAACAAAACCAGAAACTAAACTTTGAAAAGTAAAATTACGAAAACTAAACAAAATTTTTATTGACAAAAAGTTCAAATTTAAGAAAGCATCCTTCCCCTTACAATGAGCATGTGAATTGTGAAAAAATTAAAATCATTTGAATTGTGAAAAACTGTTTTGTGTCAAATAAGAGCAAACATATTTTTTACTCTCTTCCGAGTGCTATAAAGAGCATTGACTAATCTAGAGTTTGGTCTCTAATTTCGTGGTTAGGCTGGGAAGATACTAGCTGCCACGCCAAAGCTCACACTACTCCCTCCCCTGAGGGCTAACAATCTCGCATTAGTTTCTAATCAACTATATCAAATTTGGGATTTTAGTCTGTCACATTAAAATCTCCAATTCAACATCCAACAAAGTATATTTCCATATTTATTTGCTCTCAATTCTATTGATGGCATGCTCTCCCATGAAATCAAATGTGATTCTCCCCATGTTGTAGAAATCAGTCCTTTCGGAACATATGTTTATCAATACATTTTAACATTTTAATTAGCTAGATTGAAAAGTAAATGAAGATCAGAGTTCAAATTATCACAAATTAGTAACATTTAAACCCATAGAAAACAAAATTACTTCTTCACAAAATCATATTTCAAAGTAGGGAAAAGGATAAAGAAGACTACTCAGAATTTATGAGAGAGATGCGACAAAACACGGATTTCATATATGAAAATAAGCTTACAAAACTAAAGAAATAAAAGACAGAACTTATCTCACAATTCTTCCCAAGAAAATCCCTAGAAGTTCTCTCGAAGCCTTTCTCTCTTTACAAGCAATCTTAATTCTCTCTTAGAAGATGAATAAGAAATCTCTCACCTTCCCTCTCCTCTTATAACCCTAGAAGAAAATCTCCAAGACCTTGACTTTCTCTCTCTATCTCTTCCTTTTTTGCCTTTCACGCTACCCTCTTTCACGTCACACACAAACTTCTTGAAGTCTTCTTCTTTTATTTTTGGCTGCCTCCTTTCAAAAAGAATTCAAATTTCTCTCCAAAATTCCCTCCAAAAGTTAACTCTCTTGCATTCAGAAGATGTGTCATTTGATCCAAGAGACATATCCTTTCATAAAAGAACCATTCAAAATGTTTAGATGCATTGAATTGCTCCAAAAGGTGTTTAGAATAAGTGTCCCTTTGAAAATCCGCGCAAAATTTGCCTCGAACCGCTTTAATTCGCAAAAAGTCGTCTCCAGCTCATTTGGTGTCAAATCTAGCGTGTCATGCGACAAGGCTCTGTAAAACGGCGCATCATGCGTCAGATTCCCAAAATTCGTCGTTTTGGCTCCAAATTTCAACATTTTTGCTACTTTGCTCCAAATGCCTAAAAATGTTATACCTGCAATAAAAAACACAAAAATACCCTTATTTAAAGTGCAATATCACAAAAAATAAACATAAAATACATACTTAAAATAACATATTATTTTTGTTTATCAATATCCTCCAAACTTAAATGTTACTTATCCTTAAGTGACACTTTTATTACATAAAAGCATATGAATATCATAAAAGCATATGACTTAGGATAGGGATCAACTCATAACTTCTATACTTTAGTTTAATAAATAGAATAACAAAATTTAAGAAAAACCTTTAATAACTTTGATTCAAAATTTAAGTCTAACAGTACTTAGTAATCAATTTTAAGATTTTTTAATTTATATTCATTTCAAGAAGAATTGCAATCTGTCATATAAAGGATATTTAGAACATTCATATGAAAAAGAACTTCATAAAAACTTTACTAGTAATAATACCAATATTCCAATATAAGTTTAAAAAATGTAATAAAGCTCCTTCCTTAAGTTGATTCAAGGGAAGCCAGGAAGCCAATTTTTCAATTTTTTATTAGACATCTCCTCAAGCTTCTCGTCACTTTATTTTTCTTTTCTTTTATTTTCTTTTCTTTTTCTGATTTTTTTTTCTTTTAGGATCTTTTCAATCCTTTCTTTTCTTTTTCTTTTTCTCTTGACCTTTAATAGTTTTCAACTTCACTATTCTCTTCTTAAAGTTAAAACTCCTTTCCTTTCTTCACTTAATACATTCATATCAGTTTATGATTTTTCATAAAGTTTCATTTTTTTTCATCTTACTTAAAACTCTAAAATTCTTAACACTTCAAAAATACAATTTTATTTACTTTAAATAAAAAAAATATATAGTCTTATCTTATCATACCAAATATCTTTAACTTTAGAATTGACTTTAACTATTAAAAACTTTTTACCTAAATTTATCATAATATTTATAAACATAAGTATAGTCATTTAAATTTTAATCTCAATATCCCAGGTCATGTTAAATTAGTTTTAATAATATAATTAATTGAGGACAAATAAAATTTAGTTTATTTCTTTTCAAAAGAAATTTTTCTTCCCCCCAAACTTAAGTTTTTAAATAATTTTTTTTAAAAATATTTTAGTACAAAATTTAGTAGGTGAAAGAAAGCTATAAAAGAAAGAAAATAAAAACTAAATGCAGAAGATTTCTGATTATGAAACTGGGCTCTGGTATACTGCATGTACAAACTTTAAAAACATACATACAGGCTTTAAAGCATTAAATGAGTCATAATATATTTTGAAGAATTTGCTAAGAATTAAAAAAAGAAATACAAAATTGAAAAACAAAAACTAAAAAATACTAAAAAATGCAGGAAAAGTAAAAATCTATTGTTACTATTACAATTTCAATCCACAACAGAACATAAAATTTTTTACTTTAACAGTTCCCAAATAAAAGTACATCACAATACAATCACAAATAACAAACAAACATTAAAACAAACAAAACTAAACTCATAAAAATATCACTCTTCATCACCTTCCTCATCATCATCATCATCATCTTCTTCTTCTTCTTCCTCATCTTCATCATGAATATGAGCATAAGGAGAGAAACTTGGGCAAGGAGGAAATTCTACATTAGGCTCACCCCTAAGATGTCTTACTATAACATTCTAAAAATATCGTGTTGAACTCTCCACTGTTGATATTCATCATTATAAGAATTTCTTACTTCAATCTCTCCAATCTGACTCTGCATAGTAATTATGTCCATTTGTTGAATCATAAGCTGCTCCATAATGTTTTTAAGTGAAGTAAAGTGAGAAGTAGATGCTCCTGTAGCTGAAGTGGAGGCTCTATCCCATCTACCACCTCTAGATTGAACAAATGATTCCAATCTCTAAATCATATGCCTCCCAATAGAATTTTGTGGCTGTAATCTTTCTTCATTTCTATAGAACTCTACTCCTGATTGCTCACATAAAGTGAAAATCAGGGCAGGATATCTCAAACCACTAGCTGTAGAACTGCAAGCATTACTTTGAGTATGATGAACTATGAGTGCACCAACATTTATTGCTTTCATGTTCTGAATGCAATAGTTCAAGACACTATATCTTTTGTCACATCACCAAGATGATTCGTTGGTAATAACTTAGTAAAAATAAAGTGATGTCATACCTTTGACTGACTCGTCAACAAGGAAGCAGAGAAGTTAACTATTTTGTTATTCTTAAT